ATTCTTTCCTCTAGAATACCAACTCTCTGTGGGGACAGTGAAAATTCTCCCAATACCCTGTAAGAGGGTGTGGTATCTGGACAAGATGGTCCCCCGTAGGGTTATACGTTCGAATGCTTGCTCCCCCGTTAGTGGAACTATTTAGGAAGAGTTGGAAAGTGTGGCTTTGTTGGAGGAGGTGTGTCACTGGGAGTGAGTGGGCTTTGAGGTTTCAAAAACCTAAGCCAGGCCCAGCCTCTCTCTTGCTTGCAGATCAGAGTGTAAGCTCTCAGCTTCTGCTCCAATGCTCTGCCTGCCTGCCTGCCACCATGCTTCCCACCGTGCTGATCATGGACTCACCCTCTGAGACTGAAAGCAAGGCCCCAGTTAAACGCTTCTTTGTGTCAGTTGCCCTGGTCACAGTGTCTCTTCGCGGTACTAGAGCAGTGACTAAGACAGAAGAAGCATTACCATGATGGGCCTGACCATGCTACTTGGAGGACTAGGAAGACTTGGAACTTTGAACTAGAAATGCAATTGAATGCTGTGACTGGGGCTTAATGGGCCATCCTAGTTGGAAGACGGTAGTGCTGAGAGCAATGTGGACTATGGCCACCCAGCTCAAGAGGTTTCAGAGGATAATGATATTAGTGGCTAGGGTGCAGACTATTGTAATATTGTGGAAAGGAACGTGGCTACTTTGTGCCCTTGTCCTAAAACTCTGCTGGAGGCAAAATGGAAGACCTTTGTACTAATGTCATTAGCAGTGAATGATCACTCTTCTAATGCATATCTATAATGAAGAAGAGCAGGCAAGGCAAGAAGAAACACAAAACATGCAGTTTGAGGAGAAAAGGAGAACCAGGAAATGTAATGCTGGATCCAAGTCTCTGTGCTGCAGGAAATGAGAGGTTTAAAAAAAAGGTCCAGTGCTTAGGAATGAGAGGTGCCCTCGTGAAAAGAACAGATCTAAGGAGTTATTTACTCCTAAAAAGCTACAAGAAAGAAGATTCTGCGCAAATATAATTTAAGGATAGGGCAGTTTCCAGCGACAGCAGATAGCTAAACTTGGCACACATGTGGCTCTGGATTTAAGAGTGCCGGTGTAAAGGGGCTATGGAATCTTCCTCTGTGGTGAAATAGGTATTGTGGCAGGGAAGTCCCTGCATGGGGACCAAAGAGGTCACTGTGTGAAGCTGTGTAGGTGAACTCTGGATTTCACTGGAGACCCCAAGGTGTTGGAGACCTATGGGATATATGCCAAGGCGAGCTGCATATAGGGTGTTGAACCAGCCCAAGAAAAAAAGGTATTACAGTCAGCAATGCTGGAAAGACGGGAGAACCAAAGAGCTATCAAGCTCTTTGACATCAGACATGGAGCCCCAGGATTCGGAGCTGGACTTCAGTCTTGCTTTGATCCAGTATGCCCTCACTATGACTTCTTTTCCCTGTTAGCATCCAGACACACCTTGGCCCTAGCCTTTGGGGACCTGGCAAAGGGCGTCACCCCTGTGTGCATGGCAGGCAGTATCCTGTCTCTGTACACAGGCGCAGAAGATCTCTTTCAGAGACAAGCTCTGCCCACTCCTGCTCTTTCTTTCCTATGTTCCTCTGAAGAGACAGGCAGGTCTCTGTCTCTCTGTCTCTGTCTCTCTGTCTCTCTCTCTTTTCTCCCCCCTCTCTCCCTTCCCTTTCCCTACTCCTTTCCCTTCTCCCAATAAAACTTCCCATGTAAATTCTGCCTGCCTGGCATGTTTGTCTCTTACTCGCCATGGGATCCACCAAGGTCCCCCTCACACTGTGTATCATAGCAATCCTTTTTGGAATGGTAAGGTATCATCTGTGCCACTGTGTATTGGAAGTATGTAACTTCTTTTTGCTTTTGCTTTTACAGGGGATTACAAAGAGATCATCTTGAGTCTCAGAAGATACTTTGGACTTTTTTTTTTCCTGAGACAGAGTTTCTCTGTCTGCCTGCCTCTGCCTGCCTCTGCCTTCTAAGTGCTTGGATTAAACACGTGCACCACCACCACCGAGTAAGATTTTGGACCTTTAAACAGTTTTGAGACTGTGAAAGACCTCAGGGACTTTGAAGTGGGACTTAATGCACTTTGCATTGTGATATGGATACAAGCTATGGGAACCAGGGAGTGGAATGTGGTGGTTTGAATAATAGCCCCCAGAAGCTCACAAATTAGAATGTCTGGTTCCCATTTGGTGGATTGTTTAGGAAGAATTATTAGATGCTACCCTGTCAGAGAAGGATTTCCATGCCAGGCCCAGTGTCTGTCTGTCTGTCTGTCTCTTGCTGTCTGTCTCTCTGTCTGTCTCTGTCTGTCTGTCTCTGTCTCTCTGTCTGTCTCTGTCTGTATCTCTCTCTCTCTCTCTCTCTCTCTCTCTCTCTCTCTCTCTCTCTCTCTCTCTCTCTCTGTCTCTGTCTCTCTGCTCTCAGCTGCTGCTCCAGTCCCCATGTCTGGCTGTCTGCCACCATGCTTCCCACCATAATCACGGAGACTCTGAAACTGTAGCAAGCCCACAACCAAATGCTTCCTTTTATAAATTGCCTTGGTCGTGGTGTCTCTTCAGAGCAATGCAATAGAAATTAAAATGGCTACCAATGGGATTATAACCAAGGTAACCATCATGATCCCAGAATTAAGCATCACTTAAGAATAAAGGCCTAGGAATTGACATGGGAAGCAACCTTGTTTCTAATTTAATATATATATATATATATATATAGTTTAAAAAAAAAGAATTAAGGCCTAGCTGTTTAAGACACAACCTAAAGCGTACTTTCCCCTCTGCTGGTCTCTGCCACTAATTCTTACTGTCCATTAAGAGTCAGAACATCACTAGACTAGACAACAACCCCCAGTATTTTCTTAAGTTGTCCCTACTTGTGGAACTGTTTGAACAGCTACTTATGTTTTGTCAAAAGCTGACAGCATGTGCCTTGAGATACAGCTCAGCAGGTAGTCACTTGCTGGCGGCCGGAGGTTGATCCTCCAGTCTCACATGGTGGAAGGAGAGAACAGATTGCCAAAAGCTGACTTCCATACAAGTCACGGTGCATGTACGTACACACACACACACACACACACACACACACTAAATAAAACGTAGTTTTAAAAAAGATGGCATGGTGAAGTCCCCAGTTACTGTCATTTCAAGAAACCCCTTGATTTGGCTGTAAGATTAGGTAAAATCTCAAATCTAGGAAAGGAGGCTCTCTCCTTTTAGGTGTGAAAGCGCATGCTGTGTAGGAGGATTGAGGCAGGTCCTTCTCTTTCCCCAGGAATCACCTGCTTCACACACATTTAGAGTATGAATTATGACAGTTTGAAAAAGCTAAGAATATATTACTTTGGCCATAAGGACTGTTCATGTGGAAATAATTATGGAGAGAATGGGATGGCCTTAAAAATCAATCTGGCTGCTGCTTCTCCTCGCTTGAGAATTAATTTGGCCTACTAGCAGTGACGAGTGGGATGGCTCTGCTGGTGTTCTGCATGGCTAAGCATCAGACATAGAAAAAGCAATGTCAATTTATTGCAAATTAACACTGTTGAAGACACGTGATATTCTTTTCCTCTACGCCTAGCTGTTCAGTACTCAAGGAGTATGAAAGATAACGAGACTATTGTTTTTGCCCTGGATAGGAGGGCAAAGTTTGCCTTTGGGCTTCATGATTCTTTTCCCCTCCGTGTCCCAAACCATGCATGTATTTTCTTTAAAGTTCTAGAGTCTTGAAACCAGATCTGTTCTCTCGGTACTCAGAATGTCTCCTCTCCTTCAATCTGACAACTGAGATTGGGACGGTGTATTTGTGTGTTTACAGTGGAACACCTCCTCAGAGACAGGAATGCACACTGTTCTACCAGTCATGCCAGGAACCTAGATCACCTTGTGGCAACAGCAGCCTTGAGCTCCAGGGTTCACTCTGGCCACCTCCAGCTTGTAAAATGCAGGTGCTGGCACCACTTTCAGTCCCAACTAAGATCCAGGAAAGGAAGGCACCTCTGCTGAGGGGTACACCACATGGGCGAGGCATCCAAAAGATTCTCAATGAACTCCCTGCCTCTGACCAGGCTAGTAATACCCAGAGTACACCCTCATCATCAGTTGCGAAGTCCCCTGTACTACATAAGTTTTTAACAGATGGTGTTCTACCCTCAAGCAAAACAAAAAAAGTCATAATATTATCATTGGTGGGTTGTTTGTGTTCCAGCAATGTTGCAGCAATATATCTCTATAATGATGCTAAACTGTAAATTATCATCTGGGCTTTATAAACATATTAAATGTGGTGTTATAAAAGGGGTTTTCTTATAAAGTAGCAAAGGACACTTTCACTGTATCATTAACTTGCTGCTTAAATAAATAATTAAACAAATAATTTGTTCTGACATTTAGAAACCCAAGTCTCTTTTACCCACCCCTCCCCAAATATGAGAGAGCACCATGATTCAGTCACTCCTAAAATTACTGTTGACTTTGTCTTTCAGGGTTAGGTCCTGCGTTGGAGCACTAACCACAAACCCAACCATGAGAAGTCTGAAGGCAGAGGGCTCAGGCAAGCCTAAGGCAGTAGCAGCCTGCCTAGTGGATGATGTCATGACAACGGTCAGCACAGTCCACAGTGCAATGCATAGGGTGAACCGAAAGCCTCTGTAAAGATGCTCAGCAAAGAGCCGGACACTTGCTCAGCCGGCAGGATGCTTGACCAACACACATGAAGCCCCAGAAAACCAGGTGTGATGTCCTACACTTGTAAGTCCAGTACTGGAGAGATGGAGTCAGAAAGAGGAGGAGCTCAAAGGCATCCTAGCCATGCATAGTGAGTTTGGGGGCAGCCTGGGCTACAAGAGACCCTGTGTCAATCAGCAGAGAGTGGAGTTGGGCTGTGTGTCTCTCATGCTGGCTTTCTTTTCTCTGGAGGATTGTGAAACACACTTCTGAAACCTTTACCCAGGATGGGCCTTACTGCTTAAAAGCAGGAGCCCAGGAAAGCTACTTACCAGATGCAGGTGGCTGGTCACTGGGGGAATTCCCAGACCCCGAGGCTCCCCTCTCCGAGTTTGGAGGCTTTTCATCAACCCTTGCCTGGGGCTGCTCTCCCGCCTCTGCCATACTGGCTGCTGCTTCACTGGGAAGGCCCATGCTGTAGGCACACTGGGGTAATGGTCCGCACTTCAGAGAACCCATAAGGGGTTCATGGTCCTCCCTAGGAGTGTTCCCACAGCCTGTGTAGCCATCTGGTGAGGTGGAGCTGGCCACCCAGGGCGGACAACTGCTACCCTCTATTTCTTTTTTCAAGTACTTTTCAGGGGACAAAGGAGTACAGTCAGTCCTGCATGGAGGCTCAATGAAGTTACAGCCTTCAGAATCAATGGTGCTCTCGGTCCCTGTGAAACACTGGCTCAAACTGTCGTTTTCCCCGACCTCCAGAGGCTCCTGGAAAGGCGGTGTGGATTTGCTTCCAGGCTGGATCAGGAACAGAGACCCATCAGGGGGCTGTGAGGGCCGGCCTGTATACTCATCCTCTGTGGGAATCTTCCTTGAGAGGTCCCCCTGGGTCTCAACTTCACTGACCAATGTGAACATCACGGCATCTCCACTCCCTGCATGGGGCCTGCCTGCTGCACACACAGGCCCACAGGCGCCAGTACCATCTTCTGGATAGCACATGTCTTCTGGAAGCATCTTCTCCTCCAGAGTCATTAGGAAGACACCTTCACACACTTCTCGTTGACTGGACGTTGTTGAGTGGGCACCGATACAACAGTCACCTGAGGACTCCTGGAGATGTGAATTAAGAATACCCTGAGTTATTACAACATGCTGGCCTACCCACTGCTGAGAAATGTTGGTGCAAACTGTCCACCTTGACAAGGACAGATGGCCCACACTCTATGGCTTTATTTATGCTGTTTACAGTTACAGAGTAGAGTATGGGAGAAGTCTCGAAAGGGACACAAACAGAAATGACTGGATCTTTACAGCAATGAATAGCATCTGCACAAGTGAAGAGATAATCCAAGTAGCACTGGAACACATCTGCCTGTGCCAAACCAACGGCCACATGGACAAGTGCTGAATTCCAGGCAATAGCTCTGTTTGTGGCGTGGTTTACTTCTGTGTGTTCTGTATATAATTCAGCAAGGGAGCAGGCATATTGACAATGAAAGGACTCAGGTGTAATCCTGGGAAGGGAGGATCCAAGCAGGAAAAGGGAGAGATGGACCCCCCTGTGGTGATGGAGCTGAATTATAGAAACCAGTCTAATGTCTGCAGTTGATATATTTTACACTTACAACAGATAAAAAGGACAAACGAGAATAATCAACGTATTAATATCAAATATGATTGGAAAATAGTTAAGTTACTGTTAAATTTTTGTTGATTAATTTTGGATTTTTGAGACAGGGCGGTGGTGGCGCACACCTTTAATCCCAGCACTCGGGAGACAGAGGCAGGCGGATCTCTGTGAGTTCAAGGCCAGGCTGGACCGACAGCCTCCAAAACAATACAGAGAAACCATGTCTTGTAAAACCAAAAATAAATAAATAAATAAATAAATAAATAATAAAAAGAGTTCTAATTTTAATTTGTGTGTGTGTGTGTGTGTGTGTGCGTGCATGCACGCAAGCATGAGTGTGAGCTTGTGCATCTGAGTCTAGGTGTCCTAGCAGGCCAGAAGAGGGCACAGATCCCCTTGCACTGCAGCTGCAGGTTGTAACCACCTGTGGTTGCGAGCTGCCCAACGTGAGTGCTGAGAACTGAATCTAGGCCCTCTGGAAGAGAAGCGCTTGCTGTAAACCACTGAGCTATTGCTCCAGTTTCAGATGTGGCTAGCTTAGCTTTTCATTTTTGGTAAATTGCTGTTTGACAAAGACTATTTATTCTTAGGGAATGTCCATTTAGGTATTTAAGAACAGAGGAATACACCATCTCCATCCACTCTAAAGTGATTGCAGACTCACTTGATTCGCATAAAGAGCAAGGAACAAATTGGTGTGATAAAGTGTAAGCTACCGGTGAATTGGGCATCAGGCACGAGGCCTTTCATTGCAATAGTCTCAGTGTTTTTCAATGTTTTTTGAAATTATGACAAAGGAAGAGATTTATTAACTAACTACAGAGTAAAGGAAAATCGTAGATGGTTCCTCCTAGGAATCTGCATTAGGTGACCAAGGTCAGTTCTAAAAAAACATACACAGAGACAACAGAATTGGAATAAAGACCGTTGTGTGTCTCAGGTAGTGTCCTTTCCTAGCATGAGTAAAGCCCATTCAGTGTCCAGCCTGGAATCAGGGAAGGGGTGGGAATGGGGCATGATGAAGACATTGGGCACTGACTTATTCAACAGGGATCAGTTCTTGGTTGGAGGTTTCACTGCCTGGTAAGTGTTGTGCTCCACAGCCATCCAGGTACAGCTCTAGACACTGCAGCAGGACTTAAAGAAGGCAGAAAACACTTTTACCTTATTTCCATTTAGGCTGCTGCAAGTGTCATTGACCCAATTCCACAAATTAGCTGGGAAAAATGCAAAGAAAAGAACATCATGTTATAAATTTCTCCTCATTTTTAATATAAATTTTATTTATATATTTAACTTACATAGCATGATGTTATAGGATAAATATAGTTGGCAAAGTGGTCACTGTAATAAAGTGGACTAACTTATCCATCTTGTCAAATGGTGATTTGCATGTGTTGAGAAGAGTTAAGATCAACTCAATCAGCAGAAATTCTCATACAGTTCAATATTCTTCTCTGGGAATGTTTATGCTACACATCTGCTACTGTAGCCTTTGACCTACATCTCCCCATTTCCTTCCTCCTGTCCCTGCTCATCACTGTTTCATTCTCTTCCTCTGTGTATTGGCATTTCCCATTTTAAATAATTCAACATAAACATACCCACAGTGAGGTATCAGCATTCCTGAATGAAAGTATGTGATTATAATTCACCAGGGCTGGGGGTGAAGCTCCATGGCAGAAAGCATGTCTGGCATGCACAAAGCTCTGAGATCAAGCCTCAGCAACAACAGGACTGGTGTGTGGCTCAGTGGCACAGCACTTGCTTAACAAAAGCAAAGACCTGGGTTTTTGCTTGAATATATGATGTATATGTATGTAGGTAGGTTTGCATGTATGTGTGCTGTGCATGCATGTGTATATGAATGTTCATATGTGTGTGTGCCTGTTCATGTGTGTGTGTTTGGCACCAGGCATTTTTGTGAGTCACACACACACACACACACACACACACACACACACACACTCCCATTCCCTTTCCCCTCCTATCTTTCTTCTCCTCACCCCCATAAACCAAGGCTGAGGATCAAACCTAAGGCACTCCTTATGCTAGGCAAGCACTTTACCACGGACCATAGCCTCAGGCCTTGGACTTTTAGTTTCAAAGACAGGCTCTTCCTATGTTTCCCAGACTAGCCTCAAACTCCTCCTACCTCAGCCCTCTGAGAACCAAGATTACAAGTGTATGGCTCAACAAGGGGTGCTTTACTTGTTGAACCTCAGTTTGGCCCCCAAAAAGACAGAGCCAACTCCACAACATTGCTTGTTGACTCCCATATGTATGTCATGGCACATAGACCCATACATACATCATGAACACACAATAGGTAAAAGTTTTAAAGAATGATTATATATCTGAAAAATATGATATATACATATATATGAAAAAAACTAAAGAAGCCTGGCATTCCTTCATTATTAAAAAATTTTATCAGTGTCATATGAAACATGATGTGATGTTTAAAAATACTACCCACCATTGTGTAGATGCCTCCAAGAAACAAAGCAATATTAGTTTCTCTATTTTAAAAAGAAGTCCCATAAATTCCAAAGTTATCCTTGGACCTCCACATGTGTAATGTGGCAGATACACCCACACATACATCGTGGGTACACACAATAAACAAAACACTTAATTTTTATGTGCATTGGTGTTTTGCCTTCATTTATGTCTGTGTGAGGGTGTCAGGTTCCCTGGAACTGGAGTTAAGACAGTTGTGAGCTAATGTGTGTGTGCTGGGAATTGAACCAAGGTCCTCAAGAAGAGCAGCTAGTGCTCTTAATGGCTGAGCTATCACTCCAGCCCCATAAGTAAACACTTTAAAAAGCAGATTCCATGACAGCCAGGGACAATATGCTCATCTCCCATGATGCTTTCCTGGAAAGTACCCATATTCTTCAAGGCCACTTTTCAGATGCCACCGCGGACACCGTACCTGTCAGTGCTTTCCCTCCCTTCCTGTAGTAAATGCCAAAGACGATGGCAGCAACTAACACCACAGAGATGAAGAGGAGCAGAATGATGAGACTGGGCAGGTAAATCTGGGCTTCTGTGGCGGAAGAAAGCACAGGGTCAAAGGTTATTTCATTTTACCAGGTTAAAAGATGATAAAGTCCTATAAATCCAACCCAAGAATCAACGATGCAGATGTCCAGGTAACCAGAGTGGAGAGCCCCTCACCTGTGAGAGGACATACTCCATAGCTTAACCCACCCTGCTCAGGGGCCTCCACTCCAGGAGAGGCCAGCCCAGGCCCACCGTCCTGTCTCTGCTTGAGAGTAAGTTGGATGCCATCCACCATGTGTACTGGTTCATTTCTCTGAGTTTGTCATTCCACGCCTGCTTTTCTTGCTCACAGCCTTATTGTTGTTCCGTGGCCTGGTTCTCTGCATGTTAGGAAGGTCTTTCCCATGCTGCTTCTGAGGTGCAGCTCACTACACAGCCACTCCCATAGAGCAGCCACACTCCCATGAAGAAGCCTCTGTTGGCCAGAGATTTTCTGTCAAGCTTTCAAAACTGTATTTAGATTAGCTTGATCCAAAAATACTCACAGATAATCACAGCGAGATCTAACAAGTGGCTTTCTTTGGCTTGGTGAAAATCTCCACAAAGACGCCCTCACTCTGACTATCACCCCCTACCACACCTGGGAATCGGCATCGACATTTATGTTTATAGCTTACCCCTAAGTCAGTGTAAAAAATATTATCGAGTAGCCTAGCATGTAGAAAAGCACTGAGTAAAATCTCCAGCGGGGGGGGAGGTGAAGAGAGAGAGAGAGAGAGAGAGAGAGAGAGAGAGAGAGAGAGAGAGAGAGAGAGAGAGAGAGAAGAAAATTTGGAATTGGGGAAGGTGCTGGAGAGATGGCAAAGTGCTTTGCTCTTCCAGAGGACCCAGGTTCAAGGCCCAGCACCTACATGGTGGCTCACATGACTATCTGTAACTCCTGTCCTGGGGGTCCAACACCCTCTTCAGGCCTTCTTGGGCTCTGAGCATGCATGTTATTCACAGGCATAACTACATAAAATAAATACATTTTTGGAAGAGGAAAGAAGAAACACATTCTGTTTGAAACAGGACAAAACAAAATAATGGGGCTGGAGAAACAGCTCGGCTGTTAAGAGCGCACTGGCTGCCCTTGCAGAGGCCCTGACTTGATTCCTAGCACCCACCTGGCAGTCACAACCTCTGCAGCCCCGGTGCCAGAGGGTCCTTTGCCCTCTTCTGGCCACCTCAAGCAACACACATAGGCGGTACACAAACACATACAATAAAAAAAGACTACATCTCTTAAGCAAATAAGATGTTGATGAAAAATGCAAAGAATGCCAAGTCAGTCATGGACAGAATGAGCCATGAATGAACCCCTGTGGCTACAGCTTGTCATTCTAGGGAGACCACCCCACAGGCTCTGCTCGACGTACCCTTGGGTGGTTTTCTCAGAGAAGAGCTGCAGACCACATCTGATTTCTTCGTCCCTGGGTGTGCTTCCATCCTTCCAAGGAGGGTACAGCTGTGAGGAAAAGCAGGCAATGAACGGCTGTGGGTGGACACTTTTAATTAAAAAAACAAACAAACAGAGAGATCTGGGATAACAGGAACATACTTAAACATAATAAAAGCTATATAAAGTAAACCAACAGCCAACATCAAACTAAATGGACAGAAACTCAATGCAATTCCTCTAAAATCAGGAACAAGACAAGGCTGTATACTCTCTCCACACCTTTTCAACGTTGTACTTGAAGTTCTAGCCAGAGCCATATGACAACAAAAGGGGATCAAGGGGATACAAATTGGGAAGGAAGAGGTTAAACTTTCACTATTTGCAGATGATATGATAGTTTACATAAATGACCCAAAGAACTCTACCAGGGAACTCTTACAGCTGATTAACACCATCAGCAAAGGGGCAGGCTACAAGATCAACTCAAGAAAATCAGTAGCCCTACTATATACAGATGATAAAAAGGCTGAGAAAGAAATCAGAGAAACATCACCCTTTACAATTGCCACAAACAACATAAAATACCTTGGGGTAATGCTAACCAAACAAGTGAAAGACCTGTATCACAAAAACTTTGAATCTTTAAAGAAAGAAATTAAAGAAGTCCTCAGAAAATGGAAAGATCTCCCATGCTCAAAATGGCAATCTTGCCAAAAGCAATCTACAGATTCAATGCAATCCCCATTAAAATCCCAGCACAATTCTTCACATACCTTGAAAGAACAACAATCAATTTTGCATGGAAAAACAAAAGACCCAGGATAGCCAAAACAACCCTGTTCAACAAGGCAACGTCAGGAGGCATCACCATCCCTGACTTCAAGCTCTATTATAGAGCTATAGTCCTGAAAACAGCTTGGTATTGGCACAAAAATCGACAGGTAGACCAATGGAATCGAATTGAAAATCCGGGTATTAACCCACACACGTACGAACAGTACTTCTTAAGGGTGGGGAACACCCTTAAGAAGTACTGAGAACACAGTGGACAAGAGTGAAGACGGGACTTCCGGGAAGCACTGAGAGGGTTTTGATGAGTGGAAAACACAATCTCCTCAACATAAATCCTGAGTAAAATGCATTGGGACACAGCACTTAGTAAGAACTACTGAGCCACATGTGGTGAGGTAACTGTGATCCTGACAGTGGGGCTGCTGGGCAGCCTGGTGAGACCCTGTCTGAAAACAGTGAATGACGGGAAAAGGAGAAGCAGACGCAACAGCTGCAGCTTGTGGGATGGCTGATGTGAGCCTTTTAAAAATAAAGAATACAGCTGGGCGGTGGCGGCACAAACATTTAATCCCAGCACTCGGGAGGCAGAGGCAGGCGGATCTCTGGGAGTTTGAGACCAACCTGATCTACAAGAGTTAGTTCCAGGACAGCCTCCAAAGCCACAGAGAAACCCTGTCTCAAAAAACCAAAATAAAATAAAATAAAAAGAATATATTTGGAACTGAAGACTCATTGTATTTATCACTAGTATTAAACAACGGGATGAAAAGATCCCAGGAGTCTGTTCCATATAACTCATGAGAAGTGCCATACTGTACGTTAGTTGAGCATCCCTAACCCCAAATCTAACAGTCACAATGTGAGAGTTTTAGAACACTGACATGAAATCTCAGTAAGGAAATTAGACACCATGAAACTTTGTTTCACTCACAAAAACAATCTAGAGTACATAATTGCCTTTAGACTATGAATACCGTGTACATGAGAGACAGTCCAGTTCTGTGTTTAGACCTGGCACCCTTCCCCAAAAGTTCTCAGTATACATGTAAAAGACTCCCAGAACCTGAAACACTTCCCAAGCATCGGATAAGGGATGCTCAGTCTGTATCCCACACTATCTCTACAAAACTTATCCCTGCAGAGAACTCAGAACCGCTTAAAGGGCTGCCAGTAGGAACTCAGTATGGAAATGGTGCTGTGTTTCCCCAGTGAAGTACACGGCAGCTTTAAGAAGCCACAGTTTCCCAATTCAGTGTAGAAAAAAATCATCAGGTAATTTCTTATGTTCAAAGCCCTGGGCTCATCCTCAGCAACAAAAATAATAAATAAACCTGAAATTGAAATATCAGAGAAAATGAAATATCACGATGATCATAGATGAGACCAAATCAAAGGCACAGATGGACCAGTGTTACGTGGGTTATAAAGAGCTTCAAGATTATCCAAGAACACCCAAAGCATTTACAGTGTAGACACCCTTCCACACTTCCAGATGAGCAGACCAGTGATGACGGGGTGTAGGAGTGGTGAGTGACAGACAATAAATGGCTTAACTCAAGCTGGGGACATAGCCCAGTCATACAGGATATGCCTAGCATGTCTGGAGGCTGTACATTCTACCTGCAGTAGCCCACCCCACCGCTGCCCAGACTAAGAAGTCGTAAACAATTTCAACTAAATCAAGTTAGGTGAAGGAAAAAGAAGCTGGAACTCAGGTCCTATATTTCTGAATCTAAGAAGTGGCACAAAGCTCTGGCACACACTGGGTCCAACAGCCAGCTTGCCAGGCTCGTTCCCCACTGTGGCGGACAGACTTTTTCCAAGAGGAAGCTAACCTAACACACTCAACCTCCGTCCACCCAGAGCTGCTGAGCCTGACCAGTCTAAGCCGGCCTTCCACCCAGAGCTGCTGAGCCTGACCAGTCTAAGCCTGCCTCCCACCCAGAGCTGCTGAGACTGACCAGTCTAAACCGGCCTCCCACCCAGAGCTGCTGAGCCTGACCAGTCTAAACCGGCCTTCCACCCAGAGCTGCTGAGCCTGACCAGTCTAAACCGGCCTCTCACCCAGAGCTGCTGAGCCTGACCAGTCTAAACCGGCCTCTCACCCAGAGCTGCTGAGCCTGACAGGTCCAAATGTGAGCAGGCCCTCGGGTTTCTGCATGGTCACTTACTTGGTCCAGGGTCTGCATTTGTCGGTGGATGAAAAGACATCTGAGAAGAAGCCTAGGAGGCAGGGCGTGCACACCGTGTCCATGTTGAGCTGCACTGTCACATACACAAAAGCCAACAGATAAAGCAAGGAGACACTTAGAGATCGGTCAGAATGGCGCCCCCGAACCGAAGCACAACCCCATCTGTGTCTGCCTGGCCACCTGTATCGCCTGCCTTCAGCTCCTCCAGGCCTGCGTGGAGGAAGTGCTTACAGAATTGTGTTCAGAAACTGGCTTCATGTCAAGCCCCTGAAACTACATCTGATGTCCGGCTAAGTCCAACTTTCCCTGACCAGATCTTCTACTGTTCAGAAGCACGGTCTTAGGCTTGTACATTTTTCCCATCGGTGTTACGTGGCTGCGTTTTTTGTTGTCTGGCTATTTCCAGCCTTCATGGCTGCACCAGCTTTCATCTGCAGACAAAGGTGGTGCCATCCCTGCCTTTAAGGGAAATGTGTTCCTCCAAAACCAAGATATCTCATTACTCTAAAATCTGGGGGAGCAGGGTGGTTGATAGTTGAAACATTTCTGGTCCCAAGCATTTTAAGCTATATGATACTATGCACTCCAAAAGTTATTATTTCAAAACCCAGAATAACTGAAATGTGTGTCCACTGTTGACTTATTAAATACATGGCGATGCCTTGCCACAGGGAAATGATCAGCTTCATTTCACCAGGCTAAGGAGTTAGAATGGTTACTACACTTTTTGTCCCCTCAGAGGAACTTCATAAGTCTTTTCCTCCTTGACCAATGACTGGTGTCAAGTTTTTCTACCAGTCCTGATATAACTACCTTTTAGGCCTGTGACCTCTGCTGTGATTGGTTGCCCGAAGCACAGAAGTAACTATAGCTAATGTGGAAGCAAACGGATTGGACTGTGCCCCAAGAAAACATAAATGTAAATGATGCGATAGTATGATCTTGCCTTCATGCACAGTACTCAGAGCAGAGGGCCGAGCCTGGCTAGTAAGCTTGATTCTGCTCTCATATTTCTCCTAAGCTAAACTAGCAACGTAAGAGATGCCTCAAGCTTTCTGTGCCTTCTATCTTTCTTGCAATTGACACACGACGATTTGGTAGGCACAAATGAACAATGCTGACTACAATGTGAAACCAACATCAGGCCATTGGCTGGTGCCAAACCCACAAATGACTTTTGAAATTAGTAGCACTTCTATGATTTGTTTTTATGAATACAAACCTAAAATAAGAAATTAAAATTCTTGGTGCATGCCTCATAGAATGTATATGTTTGATTTCTGTAATTTGGCAATAAATAAGATGCATTGTCACACTGATCTGGCAGTGTGACTGGCTGTGAAACAATTGTAACAATGCAGGACCATTGCCTAACTAACATTGATTGAAACAGCATTTTAAAGGATGAACAAGGGGGCTAGCATCCCACATCAGTCAGCTACCAGCTGCCTGTGATGCCAGCTCCAGGAATCCAACCAAGGCCTCTGGCCTCCTCTAGCAATGGCATTCGTGTGCGTGCGTGCGTGTGCATGTGTGCACGCGCACACTACACACACACACACACACACAGTCTTGCTTTGTTTTGTTTTTTTAGGACGAACAAAGGGTGGATGAGATAAAGGGGTTTGACCCCAAGTCTGATGACCTGAGTTTAGTTCCTGGGATCCCCATGATAAAGAGAGAAAACCAGCTCCCAGAACAACCTCCACAAATGGGTTTTGGTGTACACACACACACACACAAAGTAAAGTTACAAATTAAAAGAGTAATGCAATCTAGAAGTTTCTGAGAAGGGTTCAGGGACATTGTTTTCCATACATTTGACCCACGAGTGGTACCTGGAAGGCCCTATTTCCCCTTTTACAGCCAGACTTCTTACACTAGCACAAGAACTTACACTTCAGTCTGCCCAAACCCCACTGGGAACCTGAATCTTGACTGTGCTAAACTGAGCCAGGAGTTGAAATACTGGTGACCACACAGCTACACTCTGAGCAGCCTGGGCCTGCTTCTCTTTCCATACCGACCCACAGCAAACTTGTGGTCTTCACAGGATAGCATTTGGGACCAGGTCAGCTCTTTAGTTTGGGCATAAGTGACTTTTTTTCCCAGGGTCTCCTATAACCCAGACAAGTCTCAAACTCACTGTGTAGCTAAGGATGACCTTGAACTTCCTTCCGATCCTGATCCTCTAGGATTACAAGTGTGTACCACCATACCAGGTTTTATTCGGTACTGGGGATCAAAGCCAGGGCTCTGTGCATGTTAGGTGAGCATTGTACCAACTGACAAAGACATCTCCAGCCTTGAGTGAATTCATCCACCTCATATTCACCTACTGCCAAAATGTACCATTTCCAAGGGTTCAAGGTAGAGGGAACTGTCAGGTCTAAAACCCTGGACAAAAGCTGACTGAGCTGCCTATTAGCGGGTCAAAGCCGATGCTGGCCACCAGCAGTTTCTCCCAGCATCCTCAGTCCCTATGGGTTACAGGGTCCTCCAGGCTGGCATACCCCACCCCCACCCTGAACTCTCCTGGGCTGCCCTTCCCCCAGAGGCTCTTCTGGTATATAATCCAGACATTTTGGTTACATCAGTCCTTTTTACCTTATGTCCTGGCCTCTAGGTTTCCTGGCTCTCCCCTCCAACCTCTCCTTACATGTTCAGGGCCATGTTCACTCTGTACTCCCTCTCCCTCATACCTACAATAAACCTTCTCCCCCACCACACCTAGGAACTGTCATGCCCTCCTTTTTATTTCTTTTATTCATTCAAGAACATCTTCCAGAAATCATAAAGACGGTGGGCAGCACCCTAGTTCGGAAAGGCGGTAAATCTGTGGCAAGGCCAAAGGCAGTGTCTACTCTGGGAGCAGAATTTGGAGGGAGCTGGCTGTGGTAGGGAGGTTTGTCTTTACTGGTTAAAAACTCAAGTTGACTTTTCCGAGACAGCATGTGCAGGTGAGTCAGCCGCTGATGCAGAGAGGCCTGCCGCCACACTAGCTAGATACATTCTTCCATGTGGGTTCAAATGAATAATATTTCAGTTTTCCCAGCCCTGCCCAAGTATGCTGGCTGTAAGTGAAAGACTGGCAAGCATAAGCAATCGTTTGTTGTGCCCTGAAAACCTGCTTTGTAACGCTTCCTAGAAGCTGGGAGAGCGAAGGGCTCTCAGAAGCACTTCCGCAAGTCAGAGGGGTTGTTTCTGCTTCTTTGCTTTCAACAAAGCAGAAGGACACAATGGAGTTCTCAGATGGCAGATCAGTAAAAATAGCCCCAACCTCAGGTCACTTTGTGAGCAAGGATGTCACTGGGAAGGTTCTGGGGGAGCTGTGTTTCTCAGAAAGCGAGCTCTGCGTGCTAACGTGTAACACTGATGATGCACCCAGCTGAACACAAACATGGGGGACAATCTCCCTCTCACAGTTCAAAAGCTGTGAGTGAGTACGTGCTCTTGGCCAATTACATAGTAATGAGCACGGTGACAGCTCAGCCCAGAAAAAAAAACCCTCATTTTTACCCTGTGAACCTGTCAAGTTAAGGTGTTTTTTCTTTTAAGCAGATTTCAAATTAGTCCTTATTCTTATAAGAAGGAATACGAAGAGGTGCCTGGGAAAGGCCTTCCAAACTAAGGGAAGGAGGCAATTCTGAGTGCAAGGTGCGTGAGCGCCAACAAAGAAAAGGAACTGTGTGAGTCAAGCTAAGCAGCGGTCAGGAGAGAAGGACTTTTACAGTCCTGCGGCTGGTGTGCGTGGGTATAGGTCAGAAGACCTCCGGTGTCTGTCTTCACAGGCTTCCACATCTGTGTTAGGCAAAGTTTCTCACTGGCCTGGAACTTTGCAGAGGCTAGCTGACCACCCTGCTCCAGGGAGCCGGTGTCCCAGCTTCCACCTTGTGCTGGAGCTGGGGTTAGTTTTGAATGGGAGTTCTTGGTCCGGCTCAGGCTCTCATGCCTGTGAAGCACATTATAGGCAGAAACGTCTCCCCAGCCCTCTACTGCCTGCTTTCAAAGTGCTATTGCAGCTAGAATTTCCCAACAGCTAAGTCTTTAGGAACTCTTTAAATCTGAAATTAATATCTATGTTAATTTACAAGTGTCCCGAGGTGCGCACCCCCTTCTAAGATGCTGCATGCATATTAGTGCCTTGGAGAATCCCTGCACTATACTATTAGTTGCTTAGTCTTACAGACTGAGGCCCATTGCCACAAAGAGGAGGGAGGGTAGGGGAATTTGGGCTGACTGCCCGCGTGCTGTTCAAAGCTGGGCTAGACTGGTTTTTAGCCCACTCTGAGGTTGCTCAGAGGCAGCCGGGTCCTTGACAGAGCCATGATAAATCCCTGGAAGCCTCTGGGCAGAGGTTAACAGTAGGGTTCTGTAGGCTAGTAGTCACACGTGCGCCTGCGCGCACATACACGCGCAAGCATATACACTGAAGGGAGCCTTACAGGGATGCTGGGCTCCGAAGCCCGGTGCGCACTCCATGTTGCGTCGGCAGCACTCGCAGTCTGGGTTCCAGTGGTAGCCAGCCGTGCAGGCGCAGCGCCGTGGGGCTGTGTGGTTGCCAGGGTCCACTGCCACCAGTGCCTTGCCTGCGGGAGACATGGGATGATCAGCCACCAGCAAGGAACAGGAGATGCAGATGCACTGACCACCCGGTGCACCGTCCCCACCCAGCTCCAAACAGCTGCATCTGGCCGCCAACAGAGTGACTCACTGGGTTTGAGGAACTCCAGAGTTCCTTCCTGCACTTCCTTGTTGGTAGGAAACCATCCAGCATACCCCTTTCTTCCTAGTAATTAGGAGTTGTGTGCTCTAGAGTTTTGTGTTCGTGGGTTTAATTGCTTTTGGAAATGCACAGCAGTTCACAGCTGCTTGATTTTTTTTTAATTTTTTCAAAAGATTTTTAAATTAAATTAAATTGTTTTTGTAAATACAGATGTCATACAACTGTTAAGCAAAGTTTAGATAGACCCAACGGAGTTTCTGGGGAATGTGAGTTCATACTGCGGTCCTCAAAGGCTCTGCGGCACTCACGCAAGAGCTCAAAGCAGAGAAGCAGGCAGCAGTCTGTCTGTCCTATGGGCCAGGGGTCATAACCCCCAAACACACACACCTCTTCCCAGTAGATGGAAAGTGCTTGCCTTCTTGTTCTAATTCTCTGGAATATGATATATGGGAATTTAATTATATAGTAAGCTAAGTACCCAACACACACAAATCATTGTTGCTCAGGTTGACATGAATTCCCTTGTTCTCTATAATTTCTATTGACACTTGAAGTGTGTTTGCAGTCATTCCTGGACATGGGTTTGGAATCACTCTACACAGGGGCCTGTGGAAGATTTTCTTTCTCCTCTCTGCCTCTGCCTTCCAGGAGAGTGCTGGGGATTGAAACCACAACCTCATGCACTCCAGTAAAGCTTTCTACCAGCTAGCGAGGTTCCTAGCTGAAATGAGCATCCCTACTGCAGTCTATGCAGTGCCCTTTCCTATCCTTGGACCTTTATTTGGCAATGTGCTTATTTTAAATGGTCCCATGTAGTAAGTACATACAGGAAGACGGTGATATGCCCTGCTCAGAAAACATGTGGTATAACGTTTGTATACGTTGGAGTTGTGTACTGAGTCAACAAAACCTACCTAGTAAACAGTGACACACACAGGACAAGGGGGTTTGCACCTGTGATAAAGGCCTCTCTCTGATCAGGGGCTTGTAGGAATCCGGGCCTGAATTCTCTTAGGCGCTATGACTGACTTGGAACTCACTAACTCATTGATTGTGGTGACTTCATAGTATACAGTTACTGTGGATAAGAGAACTTAATTGTACAGGTGTGCACACGCACACGACATGAAGTCATAACACTGTTTAAACCTCCCAGGTGGCTGGAATGGTGGCTCACTGGTTAGGAGCACACACTGTTCTTGCAGAGCATCTGAGCTCTACTCCAGACGCCCACGTCCTCCAGGGGATTTGACCTTTTTTTTTTTGCCTCCTTGGGCACCTTCACACATGAACATAACACCCTCTACACACATACTCATAATTAAAAATGAAATTTTAAATGAAATGAAATGAAATTAAATTAAAAAAGAAACAAACAAAAAATGCTGAAAGGCCCCATCTCATCTGGATTTTCTATGGGGCTCTTGTACCTTAACTTCCAGAGGGAAAAGAGAAGGGGAAAATCAAAACCTGCTTCTTCCTTCATTGCCTCAAGTTACAGCTAATTAAGAAGGGGCTTTTCAGACCCAAGCATGAGCCCCATTTGCCCTTGTACCCGCTGCCCAAACCCTCACAGGACAAAGGGCAATTTTGGGGGAAACATGTACATAGTACATATAAGCATACGGGAGCACACATCGTTTCTCTGCAAAGTACTACAGGACCCCGGGCAAGTGTCAGCGATTGGGGGTGGCAAGCGTTTCAGAACAATCTGATGTTCTCAGTGCTCAGCTTTCATTCACTTTGGCAGCAGACAGAATGAATCCTTATTTCCAACAGACAGCAATGAGTCAAGGTCATCAAAGGAAATAAAAAGGGCTTAATCAGATGCTTGTGCCTGTGGGGTTTCCACAGTACTTTCTCCAGCCTAAAATCTGCCAGTAGTCTCAAACACACTAGGAGAATGAGAGTGTTCAGAGATGCTTATTTCCTAGCTGTAAAGATCAAGTCACTAATAACCAGTCTCTCTTAGCACCAGCCCTAAATAATATGCCCCACTAGGAGACAGAGAGAGGGCTCAGAGGTTAAGAGCACTTGCTGCTCTTACAGAGGACCCAAGTTCAGTTCTTACTGCCCACATCAGAGGGATCTGTTGCCCTCTTCTGATCACCTTGAGCAGTGTGTGTGTGTGTGTGTGTGTGTGTGTGTGTGTGTGTGTGTGTAAGAACTGATGAAAGCCTGGGCTCACCTTAGAGTGGTGTGATAATCTGACCACCCACAGGATAGCCAGGGCTATCACACAGAGAAAACCTGTCTCAAACCAAAAACCCAAAAACAAAAAAAAGAAAGAAAGAAAGAAAGAAGAAAAGAAAGGAAGGACGAGAGAGACAGAAAGAGAAAGAGAGAGAGAGAGAGAGAGAGAGAGAGAGAAAGAAAGAAAGAAAGAAAGAAAGAAAGAAAGAAAGAAAGAAAGAAAGAAAGGGAGAGTTTCTATGAAGCATCTGACTAATAAAGAAAAGAGACAGAATCTAACACCAATGTCTGGGATGTATGGGTTCCCTCATGAAGACAGATCTAATTAAACTTACGCACACACCTGTAATCCTAGCACTTCTGAGGCAGAGGGGCAGAAGCAGAGGCAGAGGCAGAGGTAGAGAAACAGGGGTAGGTCAGCAGGGGGCAAAGGCAGGAAGATGGAGGCCAGGCCATGTTGGAAGCCACTATATCTAAAAAAAATCAAGAGTTGGTGATATCACTTAGAGATAGATCATCTGGCTGGCATGTGTAGGCCTTGAAGTTGATCCCCAGGACTGGGGAATAATATCCAACTCATACTAACTGTAGTGAATATTACAAAAATAACGTTCCCACTCTTATTCATCTGAACTATACTACACATGAAGGGGTTTCCCCAGACCTTAGCCGAAATGAACCAGTATTCTATCAGCCTTCTAAATTTAATGTACAATACAAGAAATATCAAGGAAAGAATATGATAAATGACACCCAGGGGTGCAATCATCAAAAGCACAGCAGAATCTCCTCTAGGGGAACATGGTGGATGCTTTAGTAGTTAGAATAAAAAATGGAAAAGAGAGAAAAGAACCTCTTAGGGCATCTATGAGACATATTTATATCCTGATTCCTAAACATAAGCTATATTTTTTAAATGGAGCTGAGCATGGAAATGTATTCCTGAACTATAGAGTGAGATCCTGTCTCAAACCCATATACATACATACATACATATGTAATCCAGCTTCCCTTCCCAAAATTGCGACAGCCTGGTAAAGCAATTAACTGTAACAATGTTTTCATTTACTGTTTGGGGGAAGATTTATGAGTTAGAAGATCAGTTTGAGTCCTGCTTCTCATATGTTAATCCTGGATAAATTAATCTAACGTTTCAATTTCTCTATCTTTAAAATGGGTCAAGTGCAGGATTAAATGACACAGACACACCAAACGCTGTGGCAACATTTTGTTAATGGTAGGATGTGTTCACAATTAAGGTGAAGAGTATATTCTGGCGCAGAAAGATGAAAATTTGAAACTGCGCACTGTGGCCATAAAACCAGGAGCAGAACCTTTTCCTACAAGCGTTCAAAGGAAAAGCAGCAGGCTTACTTAACACGCTTCTGCAGAACAGGTTTAAGGAACAAAAGATGATGGTGTATCTCCACCCCCCAGTTTGACCGACCCACCTGCATCACAGACTTTGTGCAGCAAGCATTTATCTTCTTCATTCCAGGTGTCCAGGTACTCATCTAGGCCACAGGGCAGACACACACTGTCAGAGGTAGGAGTGCATTTAGAAGACAGGTATCTTCCTTAAATGGAGAAGACAATGTACCAATCAAAAACGTACCAATGGCAATAAATGTGCTGATCAAAACTAAACAACAAACTGGGCATGCTGGCGCACACCTTTAACTCCAGCACTCAGAGTTAGGCAGAGGCAGGAAGGTTTCTGAGATCCTGGCTAGCCTGGTCTAAGGAGCAAGTTCCAGGGCAGCCAGAGTTACAAAAAACCAACCAACCAAACAAAGAAAAGAAAACTAACCCACAAGAGCTGATGCTGAGCATGTGTGAGGCTCCAGGTTAAATCTACAGTATACAGAAACAGCAATCTGCTGGTCTAGTTTACAGAGCAATTGATCCATGAAGCCTTTAAGACAGCCTAAATACGTGAGGTGAGCACACTCCAGGAAGTGAACACACAGTACCTGGGCTCCTCAGGTCTCTGCTGCCTCAAACATCCTGCCCCAGGTTTCCTGCACCTACTGTTGCTCCCTCCTAGATTTGCTCTGATTACAGTGCTCTCTTAGTTTGTCTAAATAACCAACCAACCAACCCTCTTTTACACTTCCAAACTCCTGACTGAGAAGCAGAACTCAGAAATGAAGCTATGCTCTGAAGAACTTGAGGGGTTTGCAGGAATGGACCAAGAGACAGAGAGGGCTAGGTAGAGGATTGGTCTTCCCCTCCCATCTTCCAACTCTCCTCTACCTTCAACATGAACAAATGGATCCCCATGCTCTATATACACTACCAGCTAATGGCTAGTTTACTCTGACCAAGACTCATACACTGGCACACGTTTACATGCATGTGTGTATGTGACAAAAGTATTGCCTCTGTGTCCTGTACATTCAAGAGATATTTGCAGTTGAAACACCCAAAAAGATCTTAGTTACAAAATAACCCAGATTCTGCTGAACAAGAGAGAGTAAGGACCTAGCAGATTGGGACTCCACAGGTGCATACAAACACCAGCCACACTTGTGGAAGGTGTTGGCCAGCCCCCTTTGGATCCTTTGGCTGGTATATGGGAGAAGATCTGTCAAGGGTTAAGAAATTCTGGTTTGGTTATTCCAAAATAAGACTTTTGTGCACAAAAGTGTCAGTTGTACTACATGTTTTACGAGGACATGATTTTAGGCAATCCTTCTGTCTCAGGAACACTAGAGGATCAGTTTCTGAAACTGCCTTTGATGTATAGGTGATGTGATCTATTGAGGGAAAGCATTCTGTCTTCTGGGTAACAAATATCACTATCTACAACTCTCATGAAAAGTCTATGAATTTCTTCCTTCACCTCTTAGGACAAAAAAGAGAGAGAAAGGAAGGGAGGGAGGGAGGGAAGGAGAGAGAGAGAGAGAGAGAGAGAGAGAGAGAGAGAGAGAGAGAGAGAGAGAGAGAGAGAGAGAGAAGCTAGAGAGCCCTGAGGGGCAGGAGTACCTGGTTCGCATTTGCTGCAACACCGTCCAAGGTGCTCATAATGCCTCTCCCGGGTGCATGGAGGTGCGACCAGGAGGGTCACCTGAAAAGAAAAGTGACATCAGGAAGACATTTCACACAACTTATTCCTGGACAGCATGAACAGTGAATGGCTGGGCTGGAGAGACAGCTCATTGGTTAGGGCTTTGCTGCCAAGGCCGATAACATACGGAAAAGTAGAGAACCAACTCCCAAAAGTCTGTCCTCTGGGCTCTTGTGAGTTCCCAAACACACAAAACAAGGAAAGGAAAATGAACTGTCAAGTTGTATTTCTACAAAGCATATGAAAATACTATAAGCTTCTCATGCTACCAGCTTCAACATTTTCACTTTCTTAGGCTAGTCCATTTTACCTAAGGACATATAAAACCATCCTTTTAGCACAGGGCTTGACCTTCTTAGACAGCTAAAACTCTTGGGGAACACAGAGTAGTAGGGAGAATTAAAGGGAATTTCCATGTGTGAGAGAAGGTGAAAACTACTTCATGAGAGACACTTAAGTTGGCCCCAGCCTACAATCCCATGGCCAGAGAGTCTGGGAAACAGAAACTTCATTTAGTGGCTGATCGAAGAAGAGGCAGACTCCCTTGGTTAAGTACTGAGCTGAACTCAAGAAAGCCAGTAACAGAGAGGGAGGACTGATGACCAAAGGGATTAAGACTGGGCTGGTTTAACCCCCAGAAACAGCTGACCTGACAAAGGTTAACTCTTGAATCCCAGGCATCAGCCTGGGAATCCAGCATGGGACTGATCACGACCCCCTGAATCTGGGTGTCAGTGAGGAGGCCTAGGGAATCTATTGAGCCTTGGGCAGCAGATCAGTACTCATCCCGTGTATACACACAGACTTTGGACTCCCACAAAACAATGTGAGGTGCACTCTCACCCTGAACTCTTGGGGAAGGGTCTAGGTCCTGCCCTATATGAAATAACAGACTATGGACACCCCCATGGAGGGCCTCACCCTCCCTGGGGGAAATGAGGGGATAATGGGGGGGTTAGGGGGAGGGCATTGGAGGAGGGGAGGGAAAGGGAGAGGGACCTGGAACTGATTTGTGAAGCAACCTTGTTTCTTATCTAAATTTAAACTGAAAAATAAATTAAAAAAAAAAGAAGTTGGCCCCAACCCCTCCCACCTCATCATCATTCCTGTTATCAACCCTTATCCCCCAACTCTGGCAGACTCCATAGACCCAGATGTAGTCCCCACTGGTCAGAAAAATGAACAGTACCCTCTCTCCTGGGCTCTGTATTCTAGTCTACAACTTTTTGGAAGAAGACTTTGGCTTTACTGGATCTAGGGACCCAAAGCACCCAGAACCTCAGTAGAGACACCCTACTGGACCTGAAAACTTGTTAGTCACCACTTACGCCAAAACACCGGAGAAGAAACAGAAAACAAAGGTACTAAACACCCATCCATCAAAGACAAACACAGGAGTCAACACCTAGACATACAATCATCCCAAATCCAGATTCCTAAACACCACTGTAAGAAGACAACATCAGAAAGGGCAATGTTACACTACTAGAGGCTGCTGATCCTATGACAGGAGGACCTGAGCATTCCAATGCAGCTGAAGCACAGGAAAACAACTTTATGAAGATGATAGAGGTTCTTATAGAGGAAATTTTAAAAATCCCTTAAAGAAATTGAGGAAACACAAATAGAAATATTGGAAGAAATCAATAAATGCCTTAAAGAAAGCTAAGAAATCCAAGAAAAAGAAAAAACCCAAACAAGTGAAGGAAATGGTTCAAGACCTGAAAATGGAAATAGAAGCAATAGAGAAAACACAAATGGAGGGAATTCTGGAAATGGAAAATCTGGGTAGGCAAACAGGAACCACAGATGCAAGCATCATCAACAGAATACAAGAGATAGAAAAGAGAATCTCAGGCATTGAATATACAAAGATACAATACAATATAGAGACAATAGGTTCATCAAAGAAAATGTTAAATTAAAAAATTCTAACAAAAAACATCCAGAAAATCTGGGGCACCATGAAAAGACAAAATCTAAGAATAATAGGAATAGAAGATGGAGAAGACTCACAACTCAAAGGCCCAGAAAATATATTCAGCAAAATTATAGAAGAAAAATTTCCCAACATAAACAAAGACATACCTGTAAAGGTAGATGACGCTTAAAGAACACCAAATGGTTTGGATGGGAAAAAAAACAGTCCCCTGGACACATAATAATCAAAACACTAAATACACAGAATAAAGAAAGAATATTGAAAGCTGCATAGGAAAAAGGTCAAGTAACATATACAGACAGATCTATCAGAATTTCACCTGACTTCTCAATGGAGACTCTAAAAGCCAGAAGGAAGGACCTTTACAAATGTCTTGTGGACAATAAAAGACCACAAATGCCAACCCAGACTACTTCTTTATCATCATAGATGATTAAAACAAGTTATTTCATGACAAAGTCAAATTTAAATAATATCTGTCCACAAATTCAACCCTATGGAAGTTACTAGAGGTACTAGATAAAAACTCAAACCCAAGAAAGTTAGCTACACCCTTGAAAACACAGGCAATAGATAATCTCACACCAGCAAAACCCAAAGGACACAAATATAAAAGAAACCCAAATGACACAACACACACACACACACACACACACACACACAAACACATACCCATCACCATCAGAACAACAATTACAAAAATAACAGGAATTAAAGATCACTGGTCACTAATATCTCTCAATATCAATGGACTCATTCACCAATGAAAAGACACAGACTAACAGAATGTATACTAAAACAGGATCCATCTTTCTGCTGCATACAAGAAACACACCTCAATGTCAAAGATAGACATTACCTCAGACTAAAAGGTTGGAAAAAGATTTTCCAATCAGACAGACCTAAGAAGCGAACTGGTGTAGCTATTCTAATATCTGACAAGATAGACATCAAACTAAAATTAATCAAAGAGATGGAGAAGGGCATTTCATATTCATCCAAAGTAAAATACATCAAGAGGATGTCTAAATTCTGAACATCTATGACCCAAATACAAGGGCACCCACTCTTATAAAAGAAACATTACTGAAAAGTTTTAATCACACATCAAATTCCATACATTAATTATGGAAGATTTAAATACCTGGCTCTCAGAAATGGACATGTTTTCATAATCAAAACAAAGACTTAATGTAACAGATATTATGACTCAAATAAGTATAACAAATATCTACAGAACATTTCACTCAAACACCAAAGAATATACCTTCTTCTCAGTATCACATGGAACCTTTTCCAAAATTGACCACATACTCAGTCACAAAGCAAGTCCCAATAAATACAAAACAAATTGGGATAATCCCCTGTATCTTATCAGATCCCATGGATTAAAGTTGGATGGAGTTCAACAACAACACAAACTACAAAAAACCTACAAATTCATGGAAACTGAATAACTTTCAACTGAATTACCAATGGGCCAAGGAAGAAATAAAAAAGAAATTAAAGACTTTCTAGAATTCAATGAAAATGAACATAGAATATACCCAAACTTATAGGGCACAAAGAAAACAATGCCAAGAGGAAAGTTCACAGAACTAAATGCCTAGATAAAGTATTTGGAGAAACCTCACACTATTGACTTAACAGCACACCTGAAAGCTCTAGAACAAAAAGAAGCAAACACTCAAGAGGAATAGACAGCAGGAAATAATCAAACTGAGAGCTGAAAGAAATAAAATAGAAACAAAGATAATAATACAAAAAATCAATGAAAGGAAGAGTTGCTTCTTTGAGAAAATCAGCCAGGCATTGGTGGTGCATGCCTTTAATTCCAGCACTTGAGAGGCAGAGGCAGGCGGATCTCTGTGAGTTCAAGGCCAGCTTGGTCTACAGAGCAAGTTCCAGGACAGCTTCCAAAACAATAAAGAGAAACCCTGCCTTAGAAAAAAAAGAGAGAGAGAGAAAATCAACAAGATAGGCAAGTCCTATCCAAACTAACTAAAAAACAGAGAGAATATCCAAATTAATAAAATCAGAAACAAAATGGGGGAGATAACAACAGACACTGAGGAAATCCAGAGAATCATCATCAGTCATACTTCAAAAACCTGTACTCTTTGGGCTGGAGAGATGTCTCAGCCTTTAAAGCCTAAGCTCACCACCAAAAAAGCCTGTACTCCACATAATTGGAAAACCTAAAAAAAAATCACAAATTTCTTGATAGGTATCATATACCAAAGTTACATCAAGGGGAAATAGAAGAGATCTTATGGGTGGACAGGGAGCAGGTGAAGATGGGGATAAGAGGTCCAGTTGGTGGGGTATATGGATGGGGAGAGTACTGAAAGAAATGACTGGAAAGGGGGAATATTTCGACCTCAGGTAGAAACCTGGTGCAAGGGAAGCTCCCAGGAATATAAACGATGATCCCAGCTATGCAATGGTGAATGGGTAGCCTGAACTAGCCATCTCCTGGGACTGGGTGGGACTTCCTGTATAGAGATTGGGATGCCAGCCGGCCCAGCCATTCGACCTTTGACCTGTAGTCTGTCCTGCCTGGGATGTGTGGGATGGGGGGCAGTGCAGAGCACTGGTGGTATGGAGATTGTGGGAGTAGCCAACCAATGACTAATCCAGCCTCAGATCCGTACCAGGAGAGTGAGCCCACCCCTGACACTGTCTGGAGCACCAGGACCTAGAGTCTGGATGACCCAGGAACCTAAGATAGAACTAAACATGATTGGAGAAAAAAAAGTCAACGTAATAACGTTCTGCTATACTCATAAGTTGGTGACAACCCCAATTGTCATCAGAGAGGCTTCATCCAGCAATTAATGGAAATAGATGCAGAGACCCACCCACAATCAAACAGGCTGAGCTCAGGGAATCCTGCTAAAGAGAGGGAGGAAGGATTGTACAAACCAGAGGGATCAAGGGCATCACAAGGGAACTCACAGAAAACAACTAACCTGGGATCATAGGAACTCACAGAGACTGGGTTGACAGCCAGGAAGCCTTCATGGGACTGACCTAGGCCCTGTACGTATGTGTGACA